ATAAAACATGAGATAGTATTGTTTGCTGATGATACTTCCTTATTATTAAAGGCACCAATGTTCCTATGACGATGTGAACAATGCTATATCTAAAGTAGTTGATTGGTTTGCTGTTAATAACCTACTTCTTAATGAGAAAAAAACAAATTGTGTGAAATTTACATTACCCAATGTTAGAGAGACGGTTACAAACATTGTAGTTAGAAACGAAAAATTGAATCTTGTGGATACAGTTGTATTTCTAGGTATAACGTTAGATGCTAAATTGCAATGGGGTCCCCATATAAGTAAGTTGTCAAAACGGCTCGGCTCTGCAGTGTACGCGATTAAAAAAATAAGGAAACTTTCAGACGTCGAAACCGCTAGATTAGTTTACTTCAGTTACTTTCACAGTCTAATGACATACGGCATTTTGCTTTGGGGTAATGCCGCCGATATCAATAGAATGTTTGTCCTGCAGAAACGTGCAGTTAGGGCAATTTACAATCTGGGCCCCAAAGTATCTTTGAGAGATAAGTTTAAGGAAATTAACATTCTTAAACTAGCCTCACAGTACATTTATGAAAATGTAATTTATGTTAAAAGGAATAGTAATTTATTTATGAAAAATAGTGACAGACATAACATTAATACGAGGAATAGAAATAAACTAGCTTTTCTTGATAGTCGTCTTCACAAAGTCAAAAAATCATTTAAGGGGCAATGTATACGCTTCTATAACAAGATTCCGGTTGATATACAAAATTTGCCTTTCACGAGGTTTAAAACTATAGTGAAACAAAAACTTTATACTAAAGGTTATTATACAACTTCTGCGTACTTGGATGACAAAAATCCGTGGTAGTAACCCGTTTAGCTCATGGAGGTAGTCTCGATCTCTGATGTTTCAAATAAAAAAAAAAAATATTGTAAATGCTATTTACAAAGAGCAACCCCTAGAGTTTCTTGCTCATTCTTCTCGGGGGAATCTGCCTTGCGAATGAGCGGTAGAGTTTAACAATTGTGACGATTTCAAGTGTAATAATGCTTACCTATGAAATAAAGATTATTTTGAGTTTGAGTTTGAGTTTAAACACTTCATCCTTATGTCATTGATATACCACCCATTCGCACTAAGCGCTTTGCTTCCTTCTTTTGTGACGCGTACGGCAAAAGAATGGAATACTCTATTGGCATCTGTTCCCCGAAAAGTACAATTTGGGGCTATTCAAGGCTAGAGTACCATCGTCGCTTAACATCAGGTGAGATTGTGGCCAAGCGTGTGTCTATTATATAATATAAATATAATGCCACGTAAGTCACGACGCCGTCGCCGATGATTTCATAGTGTATATTCTCTGGTTTAGCTTCCTACTATTCCACACCTATTGTAGCATTCAATTTCACGAGTTTCTAAATTTTATTGCCCAGGAGCCAACTATTCTTTATCCCTTTCTAGGATAAGCTCGCTTTCTTTGTTAATTTGTTTTGTTGTATTACAAAATGTCCATGTTCATACAAAGTGACCATATCTAAAGTTTCATCGTTAACTCCTCGATGTCCACAACAGATGGAATTATAATTTAGACCACTGAATTTCTACAATGTTTTTGCAAGTACAAAATATTCGAAAACTTACTGTGAGATCGTCGAAAGGCGTGCACCTGAGGAACTTGAGCAATGCGAAGAGGTCCAAGTCCTTGTTCTGCACGGGAGTGCCGGTGAGGCACCAGCGGCGCTTGCCTTTCAAAGCGCTGACGGCCATTGACGTGGCCGATTTGTGGTTGCGGACTATGTGAGCTTCGTCTAGGATTACGCGACGCCAGAGAACTTTCATTAAGACGCCGTTCTGTTAAAATACAATACAATACAAATACTTGATTAAGAGTGGTAGTAGAGCTCCTTGTGCAAGAGTTCGTCCAGGGAAGTACTGCCACCTCAACTATTTCTACCACCTAGCAGTAATGTGAGTCAACTTATGTCTCAGAGTGACGGGCGCAGTGGCAGTACCCCTCAGATCTTTGCGATTTAAAGCTCTGAGTGGCACTGTAACTGTTATGGACAGGCGTGTAGCTTACCATCAGGTGCACGACTTGTTCGTCCCGTCTCTTCAGATTACAAAAAACAATTGAGTCGATCGGCGCAATAGTGGTGTAAGCCACATTTTTTTTCTACAATATTACTTTAAATACATAAGTATTTTATATTTGGGTGCTATTTTCACGTGTAAACAATATTTAATTTTTTGTGCCTGTCATTCACCAGCATCCTTAGCCTTCAAAACCGGAACGCAGTAATGCTCACATTATTGGTTGGCAGGAGAAATAGCCAGGTGGTAAAAGTTCCTTGAACGAAGCTGGCAAGAAGTTCTACTCTGCCCTCGGAAGAAAGACAGGCACCAACAGGAAATTAAAAATTCGGAGATAAATTAGTTTAAAAATTATCTTGTTTTTCTGATAAACAAAAATAGTTGAAATATATTTTTGATATTAAGTACATTTTTTTAAATATAATATTAAATATACAATTTATACATACACTTTCATTGTATTTTAATTTAGATTATTTTAAACCTTAATTTTCTCTTTTTATTGACTAGAAAAAAATCTAAAAAATAATTTATTACTGAGCTAATGGACACATTTATAGTCAGTTTTGATTGAATTAGATAATAAGAACACAGTTGCGTATATTACTAAGTAAAATGCTTGTTTATTAAGTTAAAAAACTTATATGAAAGTTTTTTTTAACTTAATAAACGTCGAATATAACCTTTTACGGTAAAAAAATCGGATTACTGATGTCAGTTGTGCTTTCTGTGCTTACTGTGTATCCAAAAATTGTGGAGATAGACTTCTTCCTGATCCCGAGTATACAAACAACTTAATTTTGATAAAAACGTTAGTTGCGCCTGTTTTCGTTCCAAGGGCAGTACCCACAGAACAATAAATATAGTAGAAGTGGTTAGTTAGCGTCTGACGCGTGCCAGCTATAGGTCTCGGAAGACCTATTCGATATCAGTCCGCCATTTTCGATTCGTATGGTATGGTTGTGTCATTCTTTCGTGCAAATTCTCAAAAATCGCACAAAAATAAATAAATAATACCCGTGGTGGTATTTCATATCATCGGAAAGTGTTATTTTAATAAATTTTCAAGTTTCCGTTTAT